CAAAGGCAGCCCGTCAGCCACACAGCCTTTCCCTTGACGGTGGTGTGTACGTTTCCCCCTCTGTGACTCTTTCCAGAAACTTCAAAATTAAGATACGGAAGTGTGTGTGTAGCATTAGGCTTGGCTGAGGATTGGTGTGGAAGAGTGTGAAATAGTGAATTAAATAAAAAGCCGCCCTAAAATTTTAAACAATGACATGGAAAAACTGTTAAGTTTTAATTTTCCCTAATTCCGCCATATCTAACTACCAAATGGAACATTTTCCACGGGAGGTGCTTTAAAAAGGGAGTGAGTACCATGTACTGGTATAGTGAGAGCAGAAGGAAAGGGTCACATTTTCTCTGTAAAGGCAATAGTAATGACTCCTCCAAGACCACTAGGAACCCCTGTCCAAGTTTTTCGTCAGAGGTGGATTGAAAAGAGTAAGAACAATATGCAGGCCATCATCGCAACAGGGGTATCAGCAACTGCTGTCACCCCAGCACGTCAGTCTGCAAGGTCTCTGACCCACCATCCTGGCTCCCCACGCCTGCAGCTCCCGCCCAGGGAAACAGAGCCAGCTTCCAAAATGGTTCATCAGAACTGAGATCCGCCTTTCAGAGATTCCCAAGACATGGTCAGAGAAGCAAAATTCCAATCATCAATCATTTAAATATGTTCTCTTACTTAAGGAGAAGTAGAATTAACTCACGTTTAGAAATCAGAAGTCCTCTGGGGAGCCTGGTTGGCTCAGTTGGTTAAGTGTGGGGGCTCCCTGCTCGGCGGGGAGCCTGCTTCTCCCTCTGCTGCTCACCCTGCTTTTACTTTCTCTCTCTGTGCGTCAAATAAATAAATGAAAGCTTAAAAAAGAAAGAAAATGATAGGAAGAAAGAAAGAAAATGATAGGAAGAAAGAAAGAAAGCAAGCAATCAAAAGTCCTCTTGTAACTAAGACCCCCTGGCCAGCATAGTATCATTTCTCATTTGTTTCGTACCCGGGGGCAAATAATACATTCTATGTTAATAAATAAATAAATAAATAAATGTGCTCCATGCCTAATCCCAAAGTAGTCATTGCTATGCATGACAATATGCTCTGGGATTTTCCTTAGGTGGCTAACATGCACTTCTGTTTTCCTTATTTCCTAATCCCAAAGTGAGATCATTACAAAGAGGATATTTAAGAATTTGCCCATGGGCTCAAATAAGGAAACAACAGGCAGCTGGGCCCCCTTGAAAAGGTAAACCAGGCTGAGCCCTGGCTGGCCAGCGGGAGGGGAGACCCGTTTCTCTCTGAGAAAGGGAGGGAGAAATGCAAGGGCTGGGTGAAATCTCCTGACTCCTTTTTTTTTTTTTTTTTTTTTTTAATATCCTGCTCATTTCGAAAAAGACCTTGAGGGAGTTTTCCAGGGACTGTCTAGTGGGCTAGCCTGCTTACCTCCTGAGCAAACCGGTTAGAAATGAAGCAGAGAAAAGGGACGTGAACAGGTCAGTGACAAATGAGTGATGGCTGTTTACAATAACCAGGGAGAGAAAGAAGCTCGTATTTCCTGAAGTGCTCTGTGCAAGATTCTGAGCAAGGGACCAAATGCAGAGCAGCTCATTTCCTCATCAGAACAACCAAAGGAAAAGAAAAAAAAAGCAATCAGCATTCTACTTATGAGGGGCCTGAGGAGCAGAGAAATGAATAAGCTGTGTTAAGGCCCCCAAAGCCAGACTCGATCAACCCTGCAAAATGCCAAATTCCATGCTCCTTCTCCATTAATATAGTAATACCCTTAAAAATAATGACATCATCAGACATTTGCAAAGCTCTTTACAATTTAAATGGTGATTTTACATGAATGTCATTGAATTTCTGTAATTAACCTTCAGAGTAGGTACAATTAACACCATTTTCCGCAAGTGTTTCTACGCTCACAACTGTACTTACTGTGTCTGTTTTTATAATCATTTCCTACTTGTTCCTATATGTGAGCTCTATAGCCTCAGCAAGAATGTAAGATGTTAACTATTCAATTCGGGGGAGGGGGCAGTGGAGTAGACATTACCCCCTTCATCTTTTATTTTTATTTTATTTCTAAGATTTTATTTATTTATTTGAGAGAGACAGTGAATGAGAGAGCGAGCATGAGCAGGAGGTGGGGGTGGGGAGGGACAGAGTGAGAGGGAAAAAGAGGGAGAAGCAGGCTCCCTGCTGAGCAGAGAGCCCACTGGGCTCGATGACAGGCTCCATCCCAGGATCCCAGGACCCCGGAATCATGACCTGAGCTGAGTACAGACACTTAACTGACTGAGGTGCCTCTCCCCTTCACCTTTTAATCTCAATATCTACACCTTGCATCATTTCTGATGCTACGTGTACATATTATACATCTGTCATTTAAAAAATCTGTATCTAGTGACTGACTCATATTACCTGCCCTTGGTAGTTCCCGTAATGGGGAGTGAAGCCACTGGGACACAGCTCCTGAATGTACTCGCTGAAGTTGGCCAAGGGCACACATACCAAATTGTCACCCTGAGATGCTATTATGACAGGAAAGCCATCATGGAGGAGTTAATAGCTGAAACCACATCTTCCCCAGACAAAATTACTGCATTGCTGTACAGAAACACTGAAGTTATTTGCTTAGCTCGCTTCTGCTTCTAGGAGCTTCTTTTTCATACACATCAGGGTTTTCTACATAGTAAATCATATCAGACATCATTATGTCTTTCTTTCCCATTTGAATGCCTTTTCTTTCCTTTTCCTTTTTTTTTTTTTTTTTGCCTTGTTACATTGGTTATTATGCTTTTAAAATAATGCATTTTCAATATTTTCAGAAAGAAAATTTAACCTGGACTCCCTGTTAATAGTTCTCGAGCACCTGCTCTTAAGAAGAATGTTTTTAATGAATAAAATCCCATTAGTTTTGAGAGAGGCAGCAGCTGGGGAAAGAGAAGAACTATTAGCCTGACTGTCAACAAAAGTGGAGGTGTTGGGCAAATCGACCTTACCTCTCAGAATCTCATTTTCAGAATGAGGAATTTAGTGATGAACTCAAATATTTCTTTTCATTAAAAATGCTCTCATGCAATGGAAGTTCCTTCAGAAATAATCTTGTCCCACCCTCCCATGTTACTGATGAAGAAACCAAACCACAGAAGAGTTACAAGATATGCTTAAAATGGTAAAATAGGTAATGCCTTTGCTGAGAGGGGCACATTGCCAAGACCTAAAACGGGATCTTCTAACTGCTACCCCTGGGGCCCCTCTTTGTATATTTCAAAAATGCTGCACACCACCATTGTGGTCACTACTCAACATTCAGGCAGAATCTCGTCCTCCCTGTTCCATTCCACGCGTGTTCCATTTTGTTTGCTCTGCTAGTCACCCAGTCACCAATTAGATTCTGCGAGAATGGTAAGCATTTGTCTCTTCACTGGGTTGTGAACACCTTGAAGGTTGGGACCGCGTAAAAAGCAACCTTTTAAATCTCTAGTAGTGAGTCAAGTGTTCAGAATTTGGCAGGCTGTTAAACACTTAGATATTAAATAGAAGTCTATTGACATTGAATTCTTGGAGGTTAATAATACAGAACAGCCAGAATGGTGACATTTCAGGTAGCGTAGTATGGTTGAAAATCACACATCAGAGTGTCAATAACTCGGTGTTTATCCATGTTTTTCCCCATCAACCCGTGACCCTTATACACCACACCACTTCCTCAAGTCTCGAATAACATGAGAATAATAATGCCTAAAGGACCTGAAGCAAGAAGCAAGACCAGCCACTAACCCAAGATTCTCTCTGGCTCTAAGAGCCATGTTTCTGTGAAAACAACATAGTCGCACACATGACATTGGGTAAAATAGACAAAGATATCAGTGTACATGTATTTATAGCCTTCTTTCCTCCTCACCTTCAAAAAGAAAATAGCATCTGTTGCTTGGGAGACTAATGCATTGGGTGTTTTTTTGGTGTGTGTGTCTGCAAAACCAATAGCCAGAAGAGCTAAAAGAAAAAAAAAAAAAAAAAAGTCCAGAAAGGCTAGATTTAGCTACACTAGAATGAGAACAGCTCAGGAACAGAGAAAAGAATTCTGTAACAGAAAGGGTAGATTGATCACACTGGTATAGAATCAGTTTGACCCCATGTGGGATCAGTCTGGAGAGAACTGGGTTGAGTTTGATGAGGGGGAAGCAGCAGACATTCTGGAAGCAGTTTCTATGCTTTTTGAACTACTGTGATAAAAAAAAACAGAGAAAATCAAGAATTTTAAGTTTTTCTGTATGTATTTTGAGGGGATCTCCTACTCTTGTGCCACACAACGGCTTCAGTATTTTGTCAATATTATGAAGGGCTAATGATTCTTTTGACTGTAATGTCATGCTGAAATAGGTCACAAAAAAAGCCAACTATGTTCAAGCAACATTGTTTTCAAATTTTGGTTAGTTTCACAAGACTTATTATTTCCACAAAGCTACTTTAATCCCAGATCTAATATTCTGTTCATCAATGATAGTCTAACTCAGATGTCACCTCCTCCATGAAGCCCTCCTTGGTCTTCCTATTAAGATTCAATTCTCCTTTGTTGTAGTCGTTAAAGATGACACATATATTCTAGTTCTCCTGCTTCCAGGCAGGTGCTGTAATCACACTTGTTAATCCCCCTTGAAGTCAGGCTGGCCAAGTAAGTTATTTTGACCCAGTGGAATGTGGGCAGAAGACTATAAAAGCCAGTGCAAAATTTTCGTGTTTTCCCACCCTCACTATTTACCTTGCTGAACACCAGTCACATTCCTGGGAGCGGAAACTCCCTTAGGCTGGGCCCAAGAGTGAGAAGATATGGAGCAGAGCCCCCAGTGAACCCATAATGAGCACATAATGTGCATCAAAAATAAACATGTCGTTTTGGACCATTAAGATTTGGGGCTGTTGAGTAGTCAAATTGTAGTGAAGCATGGTATAAACTTCTCAATAATTCTGTGGTGGGAGAGAGGAGAGACTCAAATAAGTAACAGCCCTGGGATCAAAGGATGTTTCTGGTGGAGCACCAGTATTTCCACAAATTCACGGTGGTGGTGTTACGTGCCACCAAAGTGACCAAGGGGGCCTTCAGTGACATGCTTGACACTCCAGATCCATATGTGGAACTTTTCATCTCCTCCACCCCTGATAGCAGGAAGAGAACAAGACACTTCAATAATGATATAAACCCTGTGTGGAATGAGACCTTCGAGTTTATTTTGGATCCTAACCAGGAAAATGTTTTGGAGGTCACACTAATGGATGCCAATTATGTCATGGATGAAACTTTAGGGACAGCAACGTTCCCCATTTCCTCTATGAAAGTGGGAGAGAAGAAAGAGGTTCCTTTTATTTTCAACCAAGTCACTGAAATGTTTCTGGAAATGTCTCTTGAAGTTTGTTTGTCCCCAGACCTCCGATTCAGTATGGCTCTGTGTGATCAGGAGAAAACTTTCAGACAACAGAGAAAAGAAAACATAAAGGAAAACATGAAGAAACTCCTGGGTCCAGAGAATAGTGAAGGTTTATATTATACACGTGATGTGCCTGTGGTCGCCATATTGGGCTCAGGTGGAGGCTTCCGAGCCATGGTTGGATTCTCAGGTGTGATCAAGGCCCTGTATGAAGTGGGAATTTTAGATTGTGCTACCTACATTGCTGGTCTTTCTGGCTCCACATGGGCAAATAAAAAGAGATGCAAGATACCTTAGTACACAGAAGAGGAAAAACAACTTTTGAATGTAGAAATGGAATGTTTCACTGATTCACATCTGATTATCAAATTAATCCTTTATATGCACTTAAGCTCCGCTAAATTTGGAGAGAGATGTAAAACATGTGTACATAAAATATTTGTATACCATAGTTTTGTCTTTTCACAAACATTTAGGAAACATGGTCAAAGAATCTACCTTGTACTTTTTAGTTTGCCTGACCCACAGAAGCACATTGAAAGTCAAATATTAGAAAAAATAATAATAAAATAAAATATTAGTTCTTCCTCAAAAAAAAAAAAAAAGATTTGGGGCTGTTTGTTATGTCAGCATAACCTAGCATTTTCTAACAGATACATGATGTCTATGAAGCTCTCTAATGGAACTCATCATTTCCCATTTCATAATTAAACTTACCAGCAAACATTTCTTATCTCATATGCAATGTGTACTTTAAGAGCAGTAGTATTATCTTTATACCTTTTATTATTTCCCATTGTGGTGACAACATCAAATGGATAAAAAATTAGTGAATGGATAAATATGAAGTAGAGATTTTACTTATTATAACTATTACTTATAGCTATCTATTTTTACTCTGCCAACAAAATTATGGTCAAAGCTCTACCTGGTGTTTTCCTAAATTTCTTGAGTTTTTCTAACTAATGCCCTATACCTATGAATCTCCATGATCTTCATTTAAAAAAATAGTTGCTGAAGTCACCCACTGAACTGATCTATACTGAGACAACCTTGCAGAGATGATTATGTTACTGTCCTAGCATGCATAAAAGCAATAAAGGAAAGACCATTTCAAAGTAAATCTTAATGAACATAAGAAATGCTTACTAAAGCAGAAATCTGTAATAGCCTCTTGAGTATACCCAAAAGAATGAGCTTTAAAAGAAAGCATAAATGTAATAAACTCGCTAATAATTCAATGGTTTCAAGATTATGATTCAAACGTCTGATTTATAATTTAACACAGATCTTTTAGTAAATAAAATAAAATTGGCAAATTGAACCTAACTTGATTATTGTATTCAAAAATAACTTTTTAGTGATGAATGTCATGCATCAGCTGAAGTTTTCCTTTTCTTGCTGAACAAACCAATTAAAACTAAATCTGTAGAAAATCAGAGTCCCTTAGGGTCAAAAAGTAAAATTGCTGAAGAAAACAAACTGAGGGTTGCCAGAGGGGATAGGGTCGGGGGATGGGCAAAATGGGTGAAGCGGAGTGGGAGATCCAGGTTTCCAGTTATGGAATGAGTTGTAGGGATAATAGGTACAGCATAGGGAATGTAATCAATGGTATCGTAACTGGAACCACATTATATGATGACAGATGGTAGCCACACACAGCCTACACAGTGGTCAAACAACTATGTTGTGAGTCTAAAACCAATGAACGTTGTATATCAGCTGTACTTCAGTTGAAAAAAAAAAAAGAGTACAATTTCTGCTTTAACTTAGTCTGCTTATAAAGATAAAAGTTCCTCCTATTAAAGGTGAAACGTAGAGAACAGACCAAAACAATATGGAAAATAATCTCTTGTTACCTAGAGTTTAATAATCCCAGAGCCACGCTTTCCTTTTCTGGAACAGAAATAGATGAACATTGCCTCAGATAGCCATTATTCAGAAAATTTTTCCCTGCAATAATAACAGTTGAGTTTTTAGAGTTTCTATAACTTGCAATAAATAAGAAAATTTTCAACTGTTCCTGAAATAACAATTTTAAAAAATATGACCAGATACTCACCTTTAATCTCTTCTTAGGTTTCCTTAAGTTATTGGACCTCCCAGAGAATTTGGAGTCAGTTTGGGGATAATGGGTCTTACTTCATCTTGTGATCAGTTTTTGTGCCTAGCAGATGCCATGCCCAAATGGATCCCCATCTTCAACCAAATGCTGGTGTTTCTTCAGCCTTATCTGGTAAGATGATAAAGGGATGGTCTTGAGGGGGGAGGGGCGGGAAGAATATGAAAACACTCATTGAAGCCAGACATAATTCTTGTATCAGGCATTGTTGTCAAGATCCTGGCCTAATGCCACAAACCACGTATTTATGCAATGAAACCTTCCCCAGTAACTAGTCCTGCCTCTACTACCAGTACTATTTGTATCCAGCAGAAGAAAGAGCAAGTTAGGAAGGAAAAAAGAGGGAGAGAAACAGGGAATGACACAGGCCTGGACTTTGCGGCCACACATTTCATCCAGAGTGTTCAGTAGAGCCGGTTCTGCTTAATTGGTTGATGTTAGATGCTCGATGATGGAGTGCTGGATTACCTAAAACAGCCTGGGACAGAAAAACAGAAACCACCAAATACAGGTGGGGTTTGTGAATCAAAACAAAGATAGTACAAGGGATGCCTGGGTGTCTCAGCCGGTTAAGCATCTAACTCCTGATTTTGGCTCAAGTCATGATCTCAGGGTTGTAAGATCAAGCCTCATGTCCAGCTCTGCAAGAGCATGGAGCTTGCTTAAGATTCTCTCTCTGCCCCTCCGGCCCTTTTCCTCTCTGAAACACACACACACACACACACACAGCACTAGCTATGGATTTGCATTATTTCCTAATTCCAAAAGGTAGAATTCTAAAATCAAAAGTTTACTGAAAGCAATTTAAATATCTTCCCTTTGAAGCATACAATTAAAGAAATATAAATAGAAGTCATGGAATAGAATAAAATATTTGCAAAACACATACATAGTAAGGGGGTTGTATCTAAAATAAATACGTAGGGGGGGAGCCTGACTGACTCAGTCAATAGAGCATGTGACTCTTGATCTCAGACTTGTGAGTTCAAGTTCCATGTTGGGTGTGGAGATTACTTAAAATAAAATAAAATCTTTAAAAATAAGTAAAGAAGATAAAGTCACAAGTCAGTAATAAGAAAATAACTCAATAAAAATAGATAAAATATTGTAATAAAGAAAGATACAGATGGCATAGCACCAAAAACTGATGTTCATATCACTAGTTATTGGGAAAATGCAAACTAAAAGAACAATGAGATGGGACTATACACCTATTAGAATAGCTAAAACTTTAGAATATGACAGGCAAGGATGTGGACAACTGTAACTTTCACAGAGAGCACATAAGAACGCAAAATGGTACAGCTATTTTGGAAAACAATTTGGCACTTTTTTCTACTTAAACATGCAGTCCTCATACTAATCACAATCTTAACCCCTGATGTTTAACCAAGACAAGTGAAAATATATGTCCAAAACAGAGACCTGTACACAAATATTCAGAGTATCTTCATTTGTAATAGCCCAAACCAAGAATAACTCAAATGTCGGTGGGAAATGCATGGATATACACTGTATAATGAAACACCACTCACCAATAAAAAGAAACAAGTACTGACACTTGCAACAACATTGATGAATCTCAAAATAATTTATGCTGACATAAATTATTGAATAATAATTAAAGCTGACATAAAAAGCTACATACTATAGGATTTCCTTTACATTCCAGAAAAAGGCAATGCTACAGGGACAGAAATCAGGTCAGTGGTTCCACGGGCTGGAAGAGAGGATAGAGTATTGTCTATAAGGGACATAATGGAAGCTGTTGGAATGATGGAAATATTCTATGTCCTGATTGTGGTGATCATGCATGACTATATAATATACTTTTGTCAAAATTTATATAACTATACAACTTAAGAGAATAATAGGTTCTGTATGTAAATTATACCTCAATACATCTGACTTCTGAAAAACACAAACAAGTATGTTCGGTAGTGGAAGAAAAACTTTGCTTAAGTGTTTAAGCTTTAAAGTAAAAATTAAAAAGAATCCTTTATATGTTATACCTGCCTCAAGCTCTACTATCACTTATGCTGGGAGACTTAATCACTTTCCTCTGCCTTTAGGAGTATTCCAGTAGAAAAAAAATTAAGGGAAACGACCATATTCTGTGTAACTTTCCATGCCTGAAAGGAAAGTTTTTCAGTAGCTTTTCATTAGGGATAGAAAAGTTTTCTTGTGTACCCATAAAATATCTGGGTTTTATGTATCTGAATGGTGATTATTCTGAGTTGTGTTAAAAGACCCTGTATTTATGGGATGCCATATAAAAAGAAATAATACAGCTATCTTCAGGTGTTGACAGTATAAGGTAGATGTCATTGCAAATGTGTTACTTTGAAGGAAGTGGCTCAATTATGAACAACGATGCTAGGGTAAGAAGGTCTTTTTAGGTTGGGAACAAAAGGCAAAAACAATAAAGTAAAATTTCATAAATATGGATATCAACATTTAAAATGATTAGATGTCACAATTCTGAAAAATAAAATGACAAATTGGGGAGAATATTAGCAAACCATGAAATGAACCAAGAGTTAATATATTAAGGGCTCTTACATAACTCTAGAAAGAATAAATTAGTACAGATGAAAGCAAGGGGTACGAAGTGATGGTTCAGAAAAGACTAAATCAAATGTTCAAAGGACAACAAAAATTTTTTCATCTTGATTAGTAATAAAAAGAGTGCAATTTTTATCTATCAAATTGGCCACAATTTTAAATGAAAATGACCCATATGATGTAAGAAAATGGCACTCAAACATTGTTTGTTGCCATGCAAGTTAATGCAAATATCCTGAAAAACAGTGCTAATATGTAACAAACTCTTGAAAATGTCTGTCTGTTTGCCTCAGCAATTAAAGAAGTACTGATTTTACGATCAGAATAATAATATACCCATGTAGGAAAATATCTAGCTACATGGGTATTCATCTTCATAATTCTGATAATTGTGAACTGGAAATAATCAGAGGGTCTATTTAAATAAATTATACATACAATGGGACTACCATGCAAATATTAAAATAATGTAGAAAAATACATTATGAGACATTTAATAAGAGACAGGTGGAATATTACAGACATTAAAATACAAAAAGTTCTATTCCATTTATTACTTTATTTTCAAATGAGGAATAGAAAGTATACAAGATAAGTCTGGAACATTTTG